ATAGGGTTTCCATTTCTCTTAGAATTATCTTGCTGTATAGGTTGAACAGGTCGGGTGAGAAGACGTATCCTTGCCTCACGCCACTTTCTATTTTCGTATATTCACTGAACTCGTTCCCTATGCGCATGCATGCTGATTGCTGACAGTATAGGTCTTGATTATTCTCATAACTTTCCAGAATATATCAAGGTTGCTGAGCGGTCCCAGCACATCCTTGTGGGGTACTTTGTCGAAGGTCTTTGCGTTGTCTATAAAACATAGGTACGCGTCCTTCTGGAATTGTATCGGCCTTTCTGATAACATTCTGAGCATAAATATCACATTCCTTGTTCCGGTGTGTTTAACGAACCCGCACTGTTCTTGTCCTATCTCCGGACGGATTCTGCTGCGAGCTTTATTCATCAGAATGTCACGTGGCTCATTATGCTTATTGTTCACTAGAGTTCTCATTCATTTGTGCCTCGTTTCTTAGGCATAGATCTGCTGAGATGTTCCGGTATATCTCCGTTGTTGTAGATTTCATTTGTTATGTCGGTGATCTTGCCTATGCCAAAGTGATCTAAGGCTGTCAGTTTTTCCGTTAGAATTCTGTCTGGCCCAGCTGCTTTTTTTCTGTTCATTTTGACCAGTGTCATGTGTTCTGTGTATTGCTGGTTGTTCCCGTCCGTCGTGAAAGAGTTCTTCAATACACTCGCTGCAGCATTAAAGAATTTTCTTCCTTTTCGAATATGAACGTTCCATCCTTTGATTTTAGGCAGCCTGTTGACGAGAAATGTATTCTGTCCTCTTAGGAACATAATTTATTTCTTTGTGCATGTCTCTTTTCACGTTTAATACTCAATCTTCCTGTTTCTGCACATTTTCCCTTTAGCCATTCTTTTTTTTAGCTTGGCTGCATTTAGTCTTTATTTCATTGTGTCATTTTCTTTACTTCGTTCCGTATCTTGGCAGAGTTTTATGTTTCCTTTCCATCATGTCGAGAATCTCATCAGTCATCCATTCCTTCTTCTTCGTCCTGTCTCCTTTCGGATGATATCGTTTGCTGATGTCACCAAAGCGTCTCTTAATGCGTCCCATTTCGAGTTTCCATTGTGTGTCTCGTATCTTCTTTTCAAATTTTCCATATACTTTTCTTTTGAGTTAGGGTTGCCCAGGAGTTTTTTTTTTTTTATTGCAGTTTCGGTGCTGCATTAGGCTTCTTCAATTTCCGTACTTTCAGTCTTAGTTTATATCGATGATCGCTTCCGCAGCACTTAGATAGGATTTACAGTGAATCATTGCATTGTTGATGTTTATATAATCAATTTGGTTTTTAGTTTCTCCTCCTGGACGCCTCCATGTCCATAGTCGTCTCAGATGTTCTTGGAACCATGTGTTGACTATTACCTGGTCATTGGCTGTGCGTCATTGGATCCATTTTTCTCCACGTTCGTTACAGGTTACTCGTCTGAATTTTCCTGCTATATCCCTTTCCCTATCCTCCTGACTTAGGACCACGCAAATGTGGCTATGCTGCATGAAGAATGAATAAAGAATGCTGGAACCGACACTAGTGGAGGGACCTCGAATACTGCTATATTCCTTCGCATACTTGGTCCGTACGATGAGGTCTTTCTTTTTTTTTTTTATTAATTCATGTATCGCCATCACGAGGCCTGTGACCTGTACGTCCCACAAAAAAAAACGGTTCCTTTAATAACACCTTTGTAGTTTTACCCTCAGGGACATGTGTGATTTAATCACTGTGTATTTTGAAGGGCGACAAATTCTGCATGTACGCTTTTCGAATAAATAATAAGTAAATTAACTATTCAATATGTCAAAAGAAGAAAAGGATTTCAATTCTAAAAAACACTTTTTCTTTTCCCCAAAATTAATGACGACTATGCATTCTATATTCTTGCAATTGATAATCCTTTCCTCATGCAAGAAATAAGATAATATGGTTTTAATCCTGCTCGCTTCCCCACATATAACGAAAAACCACTAAAAATAACCAAAAACCCTTTTTTAGCAATATCTTCCTGTTTTTTATCCGATGCTTTCCAAATTTGCCAAAATATATATGACACAAAAATTATCTTGCGTGAATATTTGGTTTTAATTAAGAGGACAAAATCTGCATCAAACTAGGTCCAAAATCGGCTTTTACCATCTAGCCTATATTTTCTTCATATGATTTCATCCTAAATTGATATTCGAACAAATTTTGAGGCAAAGATTGTTTGAGAAGTATTATTGAATGGATAAAAGGGAAAATTTCCTGAGGAACCTCCTATTAAACTCAGCTTTACAGTAAATGTGCGATGAAGAAGGGGGACATTCATGTATTTGTACTTGCTGTTGAATCACTGTTTTTGTTTATTAGATCTGTGAACAATGCTGTACTATTTGAAAGTTAGCCAAACGGCCATAGGAAATTTATTGAAGATCTAAAACATTGAAATAATTTAACGTTGAACAACGGCCATACATAAGAAGAATTTTTATCGATGGACTTTATTAAGAACAACCAAACACTTGCGAAGGGCATACCATAAAAAAGATGAGTGAGGGAGTAACTTAGTATACCAACGGATGATGCAGGTAAGCGTGGATGCAGGTAGTCATTTCTAGATGGGGAGGGTGCAGGTATACAATTGCAACCATGTACTCCTGAGTAACACCAGGTACCTCGGCTAGTATATATATAAATATAAATGTAAAAGCAGACACTGAGATTAAATCTGAGTGCCGTATGCTGGAACGGTGATTACACACACACACACACACACATATATATATATATATATATATATATATATATATATATATTAACTCAATTATTACTGGCTTATCTGATAAGGATCCTTTGAACATAGTGAGAAATGAAGGACATATCTTAATCTCTTTCCTAAATTTCAATTTAGACACGCACGCCAATGTAGACTGCATAAATTGTTTGAGAAAGCGAAAGAGAGAGAGATAGAGGGGAGGAAAGAGAGAGAGAGAAAAGAGGAGAGGAAAGAGAGAAGGAAAAGAAGAGAGAGAGAGAGAAAGAAGAGAGAGAAAGGAGAGAGAGAAGAAGAGAGAGAGAGAGAAGGAGAGAGAGAGAAGGAAGAGAGAAGGAGAAGAGAGAAAAGAGAGAGAAGAAAAAGAGAGAGAAGGAAAGAGAGAGAAGAGAGAGAGAGAGGCAAATATGCAGATACAGAGCCATGTGCGTGTGACGCTATTTTTTCAATGGTTGGGGTTTAAATATTTACATTGTTCCTCTGACAACGTTTTTGAAAACATGTCTTTGCAAGTTTTTTGATCTGATCCACTTGTCTTGCTTGATCGAAATGCAAAGAAAATTTTTCCTTATGTTACAGTAAAATTTACTTCGTCCAACGTGTGTGTGTATATATATATATATATATATATATATATATATATATATATATATATATATATTTGTTTGTATGTATATATATATGTATGTATGTATGTTCGGGTGTATATAAGTATTAGGTTGGTGCAAAAATAATGACGTAATAATGTCGTTTTGACGTCAATTTTTAACGTCAAAAATTTTTTTATATATATATATATATATAATTTTGCATATATAAATATATATATTAAGAAAATTTATTTGATATATATATATATATATATATATATATATATAAATTTTTCGGACAGGACAAGGAATATTTAATAATGATATAAAATAAATACAAAAGAATCATAAAAAATTTAAGATTAAGATTTTAGGGCCTTTATATATATCGATAAATTTACAGAAATAAAGATCGTCGGTTTCGATAACGTCCTGAAAAATTGGTTATATAAAACAAAAATGATTTAAAAAATTTTTTACCAACAACTGATAAAAAAATACATTACCCAACGAAAGTAGACATTAAGGTTAACAAATTTTGAAAAAATGATAATTACCTTCCAGGCACATAAGTGAAAAAGAATGAACGCCAGTAAATGGATGGTGTAACGATCGTTAGGAGAGATAGCCAAAAGACTGCACACATTAAGAGCTACAAAGAAGAGGAAATAGTGAAGAGCCATAATCCTGATAGGACGCGAAACATAGGTGAAGAAGAATGAGCGTCAATAAATGTATGGGGGAACGGTGATTAGGGGAGATAGCCAAAAGACAACATATATTAAGAGCTACAATGCAGAGGAAATAGTGAAGAACCATAATCGACAACGTCCTGATAGGACCCGACACATAGGTGAAGAAGAATGAACGTTAATAAATGGATGGTGAACGGCTGGAAAATATCTATGAATTGTCAATAATGCACTATGATTAAGAGATTTTCCGTGCATAAACGGGTATCCCAGCTAGTTGTATACGAAAACTAAGTAAAAAATGAACATTCTATAAACTTTCTATCGTTTACAAAACCGTAAATCTAGGGCACGTAATGAGGAAATAGGGCTTAGTAAATTTGATACTCACAGGGCAGATTGAAAATCAGAGGGACAGAGGAAAACAATGCATAAATGACGTAGCAAGGTTGAGTTAATGGATGGCAAAATGGGGTTTAGGAGAGATCACAAAAAGACACACTTTTATTATAATAGCTACAAAGTACAGGAAAGTGTGGAGAGGCATAATCGCCATGGTTCTAAAGGGTTACGGTATATGGGAGAAGAAGAATGAGCGTCAATAAATGTATGGCAGAATGGGGTTTAGCATACTTTTTATGAAGAGAGCTATAAAGGAGAGGAAATTGTGGAGAGTCATGATCGCCAACGTCCTTAACGGACACAGCACATAGAAGAAGAAAGAATGAGAGTCAGTCAATAGATGACGGAATGGGGTTTAGGAGAGATGAGCAAAACACAACATATATTAAGAGCTACGAAGGAGAGGAAATTGTGGAGAGCCATGATCGCCAACGTCCTGAACGGACACGTCACATAGAAATAGAAGATTGATGGTAAGAAGGTAGGTAATATCAAATTTAGGTGACACACCTGTATGTAATGTGTGTGAGTCTGTGTGTGGGGACATGTTTATTTCGTTGCCAGGCAACAAACGTCCACATTCTTTGCTGCATATTATTTTCTGTTCGTCTGTCTGTCTGTCTGTCTGTCTGTCTGTCTGTCTCAATCTGTTATCTATCTATCTATCTATCTATCTATCTATCTATCTATCTATCTATCTGTTGACCTTTATTCGAGGTGAAAAGTCATCGGAAATTCCTGATGAATCATAATTTGTTAATATTAATCTGCTATATTTTGGCGATCATGTATCTTTCGATAACATTTCGACTATCTGTCTATCTCAGTTTGTTCGTATCTATCTATCTATCTATCTATCTATCTATCTATCTCAGATTGTTCGTAGGTATGTATGTATGTATGTATGTACCACCGTCCTGAAGAAGAGAAGAAAGAATAGACATGACCAAAATTAAACATATATAAAGAGCTACAATGTAGAGGAAATAGTGGAGAGCCATGATCGCCAACGACCGGAAGGAACACGGCACATGGAAGAAGAATGAAAGGCAGTAAAAGGACAGCGGAAAGGTGTTTAAGAGAGGCACAAAAGTACAGGAGATTGAGGAGAGCCATGATCGACAATGTCCTTCCAGATAGGACCCGGTATATAGGTGAAGAAGAATGGATGGTGGAACGGTGATTAGGAGAGATAGTAAAAAAAGACAACATATATTAAGAGCTACAAAGAGGAGGAAACAGTGGAGAGCCATGACCAGCAACGTCTTGAAGGGACATGGCACACAGAAGAAGGTTCAAATGAAGAAGAGGGGCAGTGAAAAGAACGCATGGAATTAATTAACTTTAACATATATATATATATATATATATATATATATATATATATATATATATATATATATATATATATATATATATATATATATATATATTTAGTTTATGCAAAACTAGGTAATCCGTATGGGTAGACCCAAGGAGGATGATATCCGGAGAGCTCAATGTAAATTCAGAGCAAATAAATTTGAATAAAAACAGACCACTTTAAGGTTCCATGTAATAAATTATTTCACCACAGCCCCTTTAAAGGGCTCTGGATCATCAGGTTGAAATGAAAAATGAAAAGAAATTTGCACATTTTTGACGGGCCGTATTAAGTATATGTAAATTAACGAAGTGACGAAGTGAGTGGGGAGAGAAGACATGAGTGAGTTAGATGTACCATTTCAATTCTTTATCCCTAACACCACTTGGTGTGGGCCAGACATCGTTTAACTTAACGTATGTTATCTCTAGATATGGATGGGGAAAGGGGTGAAGAAGAAAACCAACATAAAAGGAAGAAGATACAATAAAATAAATCATGAGAGAAGGTTTCACTCAATTTCTTAGACGCTGTTATTTCGCATTACTTTAAAGGGTATATTTGGGGGTTAAAGTTTGATATAAATCTAAATGTCTAAAAAATCTCCGAAGAATTTAATTTGATGTTGGAGTTTTGGGTATTTTCTATGAAATAGTCGATTGGAAAAAAATCCTAGAAGGTACATTGACAGAATAAATTCATTTTACATCTAGTAATCTTTTTTATTTTCCTAAACGTTTTTCTAGTTGATTATTAAGTTGGCATCCATTCGTTTGAGTTTTGTTCATAAATTAAACTCGTGACTGTTTTTTGATAACTATCAAAGGTTATTCCAATTTAAATAATTTTATCATCAATAATGATTATTAAAGGGTAATATATTTCAATTTAAATTAAATTATCAATTTAAAATTTGCCTCCGTATTATTTAAACACACTTCCAATTGGAGAATATTAGAGGAGAAATTTGGATAAAACATTACTAACAGAAAATTAGGTCCTTCTTTTATAATATTCTATATATCCATACACATACACACCTCTACACACCTCTACACATATCCGAACACCTATCCATATCTACATACATACATATCCCTATATACCTCTAAATCCATACACACACATAATCACACATCCACACAAAACTATATGTATATACCCATACATACACATATACACCTGTAGAAAAACACACACACATATATACATACATATCCACACATATATATACATTTTATATTTTATATCCATAAAAATGATTCTTGATGGAATGAAATTCCATTTTATTAGATTTATCACAAATTTCATTTTTTTTAAAAAAGTTGATAGTATTTTTTCAAATGATTAAATGTCGTGAGTTATTTGAAAGGAAAAAGGAAAGAAAAGAAGAGAATTCGCCCCTCTCTCATCGTTCCATGTTTTCTCTCTTGCTTCTCTCTTTCCCCCTCTTTCTCTCATCTATAACACGTAAAGAAAGTCACGTGTCCAGGGGCGTGATTATTCTCGTCCAATGAAATGCCTTGTATTCCGATGACGTCATCCGTACGGCCGACGCCCTTTGCAGTTTGCTTTCAGAAAATTCAACAGACAAGACGTGTTTTGTTTCCGTCTCGCTTCTTTTCATCCCAAAAGTGAAAATCAAAATCAAATGTAAGTAAGAATTTTCTTATCGTTTCTCCAAATCATTCAACCTTCTTCTTAAATGTTTCCATCAACACAACAAAACCTTTTTCTTCCTTTTTTTTTAATCATTTCAACCCAATGAAGGCAAGAAAGCCACTACGACGCAAAGGGGGCGGTTTTTAAGTCTGAAAAAAAAAAAAAAATCTCTTTATTATTAAATCCATTTTTTTTCTTTTCTTTCCCGAAAAAAATTGAATTTAATTTTGAAAACTTTTTTCTTTTTTAATCGAAAAATGTTCGTCTGACTCGTTGTCTTCAATTTGTTGATTTGTTATTGAATAAAGCAGACGATAAGTTATTTTGTCCCCGAATTTCCTTATCTGCTTGTGAAATACTTGGAAACCCTTCCGAAAATTCGGTCAGTCTATTCGTATCTCTCGGTCTATCGGTCTATCTCTATTTTTCTTTTTCTTTTCTTTCTTTTCTCTCTTCTTTCTTTCTTCTTCTTCTTTCTTTTCTCTCTTTGAAAAAAAAAAAAAAAAAAAAAATCTCTTTCTCTTTTTTTCTCTCTCTTTCTCTCTCATGATTCTCTCTCTCTTTTTTCTCTCTTCTCTTTTTTCTCTCTCTCATGATTCGAAATCATTTTTATCATTTCTATTCTTTTTTTTTTTTTTTTTTCGAAAGCAAAAATTCTTGTCTGACTCGTTCTCTTTGTTTTCTTCTTCTTCTTCTTCTTCTTGATTTCTTATTGAACAAAGGAAAGAAGACGATAAGTTTTTTGTTCACCACCCTCCCCGATTTCCTATCTACTTCCTTAAGGTTTGTTGTAGGATTTAAAAAGGAAGACGAGGCACTACTTAAGTAAAGTGGTCCGCTTGTTAAAAAGACAACAAAAGAACGTTTAAAATACTTACTTCCGAAAACTGAGTCTATCTATCTATCTATCTATCTATCTATCTATCTATCTATCTCTCTCTATCATCATCTCTTTATCTATCTCTCTTATCTCTCATATCTATCTTCGTATCTATCCCTCTCTCTTTATATCTCATCTCTCTCTCTCTCTCTCTGTTTTTTTTAAAAAAGGAAAAATATCCCCTTCTCTCTCTCATTTTTGCACATTCCTCCCCTTCATTCTTTTTTACTTTTTCCCTCCCTTGTAGGGTGTGGTTATTCTCATCAATGAAATGCCTTCGGCTCCTATGACGTCACAGCTATGAAAAAAACTCAAATTATCGAACCTTTCGAAATCTTTTCCTAATGAAAAAAGAAAGATTCTTTTTATTTTTTTTTTATGGATTTTTTTTTTTTTTAACCGAATTCATATTGTGTGGAAATTCTTTCCAATGAAATTACTTTTATTCTGACGTCCTTTTCCTCAAACTCAAATAATATATATATATATATATATATATATATATATATATATATATATATATATATTTTTTATATATTTATATATATCTTTTTTATTTTTTTCTCTGATTTTTTAAAAAAAAAAAAAGAAAAAATCTTCCTCTTCTCTCTCTCTTTCTAAAATCTTCTCTTCTCTCTCCTTCTCTCCCTATCTCTTACTAATCTTCTATCTATCTGTCTCTCTGTTTGTTATATCTATCTTTTATAGAATTCCTTCTCTCTCTTTGTCATTCATCTATCTATTCTATCTATCTATCTATCTATCTATCTATCTATCTATCTATCTATCTATCTTTAAATTTTAAATAGAGGAAAACCAAATTCTTTTTTCTGTATTCATAGAATTATTTTTTTTTTTTCAAATTTTTATTTCAGCAAAAGAAAAAAATTTTTCATTCAATTTAAATTAGTTTCTTTTTCGGTTTTTATGTGTGGACCACTTTATTTAAGTAGTGTTTAATTTGCTCGCTTTTATTGTCCTTGTGCCATACTAGATGAACGAAGAAGATAAAATATAAATTAGTAATAAATAAAAAAAAATGTCTTCATTTTGTATTCGTCCTTTGAAAGAAATTGAAAAAAAATAAAAATAATTGGAAAAAATATTAAAATTTAAAAAAATATTACAATTGATGAAAAGAGAATGTTAAATGTGACTGTGAAAGCGGAAAATTAGACCCCCCCTCCTTTCTCTCTGTTTCTTTTTACCCTTTCTTTCCTTCTTTGAATTTCTCTTCTCTCTCTCTCTTTCTTCATTGATAACCACTCTCTCCGTTCCCCATCTCTCTCATTATTTCATTCCCCTGACAACTCTTCTCCTCCCTTTCATTTATTTGGGATTTTAGAAGAAAACAAATTTTCTTTCCGGAAATCGATTTTTTTTTTTCTTTAAAATCTCGAAATTTTGGGTCATTTTACTTCCGGTTTTATAAATGGAATTTTTTTTTTTTTTTTGTCTTTTTCTGATTTTGAACTTTGACTTTTTTTTTTTTTTTCTTTCTTTTCAGATTTGATTTTTATCTTCAGAAAAATTTTCCAAATGGCGTCCAATGTAAGTGAAGAAGAGACATTCCAATGCTCGAAATGCGACCAATTTTTGGATTTGGCATCGAAGACGTTGCCATGTCTTCATTCTTTCTGCAGAAGGTGTGTGGAAGATGATTCTTGGAGGAAATGGCCTGTGTCCCCAGTGCCAAGAACCTGTGACCGGTGACGATTTGAGACTGGCACCATTTTTGGTAAAATCTTTGAGGCGTCGTCAGCTGGAATCCCGCCAACTGAATTGTGATACGTGTTCGGAAGACGGCAAAAAATCGACCGGCCAGATTTGGTGCCAGGACTGTCGAGAAACTCTTTTGCCAGACTTGCGAGAGAATTCATCAGAAATTCCATTCCAGACACGAGACCAAAGACATGTCGGGTGTATCGAGAGTGGAGGCCATCCGGGTCATCACGATGGAGGACTGTCAACGGCACCACCAATCCAAGGACGCATTCTGCAAGCGGTGCAACGTGTGCATGTGTGACGTATGTTACAAGGAACACGTGACCGCTTCTCCTCAGTGTCCGCCTCGCCCGCTGTCGGTGAGGGAGGAAGCGTTGAAAGGGAAAGAGGAAGGCGGCCCCACCCTGGAGCTGGAACTCCGCCAGTTCGAAATCCACATCCGGGCGACGTACGGGCAGACGGATCGATCCATTGACCAACTATCAAGGGATTGCGATTCCGAATGCTCCAAACTCTTGGAGGATTTTGAGACATTCGTGATTGAGGCACGGCAGAAGTTGATAGAGCTGTGCGATAATATGAAAGTGATGGCGTCCGAACTGGAGAGAAAATGGCGCCGCTCCCTCAAGGAGAGAGAAAAACTTTTGGGGAAGGTAAAGATCTGGCAGCAAACCTTGGACCATTTGTTGACGGACGACGCCGACGATGAGGACGTCGTTTGTGGACTGAGGTTGTTGAGAGCTGAGCTTTCTGCGCGGCTCCACCAATCGTTTGCTCCACCCGGGAAAATCCGTTGGGTCGTGACCGTTCCCAAATGGTGTCACGATTCCCTAGAGTCACTGAAGAAAGAAATAGCAGAACGGCAAACATCCGGGCACAATTGGACGTCTGCAAGGATTGAAACCGCTGTCGTCGGGCAGACATCCGGGCATTTGCAATTGGAAAGTGAATGCCGTCTGCAAGGATCGAACCCGCCGCTGTGGATTTCATCGATTGTCGCCAGCGATGAAGACAATCACGTCTTTGTTGGCGACTGGGAAGGCGGATCGATTCTAGAATTCAGAGACTCTGGGGAATTGGTCGGCCAATTTCCCTTAACGGACGGAGGAGAAAGATTCCACCCCGGGGACATTTGTCGCCTCCCCGAAGACATTTTGGTTGTCTGTTGTCCTGTGGGGTCGAGGTTCAGTGGGGGAAGACTTTTCTTTTTGGCGCGACAAAAATGTCCGCCATTTTTAAAAAAGCAAAAATAATTGACACAAAAAAAGGAAAATTTTATTCTTTGTGTCAAAATGAGAAAAAATTTTCGCTTGTGATTGGAATTTTGAAGAAATTTTTTGTTTTAATGAAAATGGAGAAAAAATAAAAACAATCCTCCTGAGGGGGGGTCACCGGGGGCGGTGTTTATCCCCCCGCCTTCGTGTCGATCCGACGAATGGGAATTTCTTGGGGACAAGAGAAGGAAAATCGGAAATTTTGGTTTGGAATAAAAATGGAGAAATTCTTCAAAAATTGCAAAAAGAAGAATTTTTCGATTTTTGTTCAAATAAATTTGGATTTTTTTATTTTTCGAGCCAAAAAGAAATTTTTTCTCTTTTACCAAAAAAAAAATTGTATAAATTTCCGGAAAAATCTGAAGAATTTCCGAAGATTTTTGTTTCCGACCAAAAATTGTTTCTTTCTTTTAAAAAAGATGGAAAATATTTATTGACAATCTTGAAAATTATTTAAAAAGAAAAGGCCATTTTTTTTTTTTTTTTAATTTTTTTTAAATTCGATTTTTGAAATTTTTCTTGAATTCAATTTTTTTTTATTACTTCTAGTTGTAATTGTAGGAACAAAAAAATCTGTCCATTTACATGGGAAAATGTCAACAGGAGTGCGTAGTTTACAAGGCTAAAATTTACAAGGACATAGATGACTGCAATAATGATATAAACCCTAAAGTGTATATAGGAGCTACTCAGGACATATTTAAAAAAAGATATTATAAACATACGAGTAGTTTTAACAATGAAAAAACCAAACATACTTTATCTCGCTATGAATGGAAAATTAGAGAGGAAAATAACAAAGACTCAATCCTTAAATGGGAAATATTAAGATGTTCTAAATATAAAGCCGGTCAAAATCTATATTATATATATATATATATATATATGTGTGTGTGTGTTATGAATTATTTTTTAATAATTTATACTAGTACTGACTAATAAAATATTTTGTACTAGTGTTTTTATTTTATACTACTTTTTATTTTATTCTACTGACTAATAAGATGCTTTTTATTTTATTAACTATTTTTTTAGATTTACTGACAAGAAATGAAATAAATATGAATTCGATTTAAAAAAAAAATAAAACTCCCATCAATTTCACATTGTTCATATCTATCTATCTATCTATCTATCTATCTATCTATATCTATCTATCTATCTATCTGCCTGTCTATTGACCTTTGTTCGAGGTGAGAGGTCATCGGAAATTCCTGATAAATCATAATTTGTTTACTACTTCGTGTTGGTAAAATCCATATTTCTCGGAATTTCACAAATAAAATTAGTTTCACTTTGTCTTTCTTTCAAATCATGAAATTCAAAAGACTTTTTAGATTTTTGACAATTCAATCAAAATTATGTTGACCTTGTTTTTTTTTTTGTTTGTTTTTTTTTTTTTTTTTGAACCAGAGTTCAAAATTTTTCATTAATAAAAATATTTTGGGTTTTCCTTTTAATTCTATGAGTCAAAAAAGAAGAGTTTATTTTTCGTTTTTATTACCGAATCTTAAAGTCATCTTGTATTAAACCCGAGAAGAATTTCAACTTTTTAACATTAATTGCTTGTTAGTTTTTATAAACATTAATCGGAAATATACTAATAAAATTTGTATCCGTTTATAGAAAAATTATTAGTAATAATTATTTTAAAGGGTCAAAACAAAAATTTTTAGCGCAAATAAAAATCTTTTTTTACATTCAAAACAAAAAATTTTAGTTTAATCAATTATTCATGTATTTTAACCGTTTTTTACGCAAATACTTGTATTTTATTTTTTTGTGTATAAATCTATCTATTAATTAAAAGTATGTCATGATTTTTTATACATTTTTAACCATTATTTGCAAAAAATCTTTTTTTATATTTTATCAAAAAATTAGTTTAATCAATTATTAGTTTTAATTATTTTATACGAGTACTAATAAACATTTTATTTTATTTTATTTAATTTTATACTACTAATATTTTTTTCTTTTCATATCTACTTTTTTTATTTATACATCTGATTAATAGTTTTTTTTTTTATTTTACTAACTATTTTTATATTTACTGACTAATAAAATTGTTTTAAAATCTAATAAAAAAAATAATAGGTCAACATTTTTGTATTTCTTCTCTGAATTCAATTTTTCATTTTCCTGGAACTGGATTCATTTTATTTCACTTTTGTCATCCATTTTAAATGTACATCTGACATTAAAGAAATTTTGACAAAATTTACCTTTGAATATTTTAAATATTTCATTGATTTTTTCTTCTTTCAATTTACATTTTACGATAAGAAATAAAATAAAAATATAAATTCGTTTTCAAAAATAAAACTGCCATTGAAATAATTCCGGATGTTTATGAAACTTTTTATTCGACATTTTCTTTTTTTTATTTCCATAAAAATGATTCTTGATGAAATGAAATTCCATTTTATTCAGATTTATCACAAATTTCATTTTTTTTGTTTGAGTTGAAATATTTTTTTCAAATGATTAAATGTCGTGAGTTATTTGAAAAAAAAGGAAAAAAAAAAGAGATAAATTTGCCCCTCTCTCATCGTTCCATGTTTTCTCTCTTATCTTCTCTTTTCATTTTCAATTTCTCTCATCTATAACAAGTAATATCTTTCTCTCTCAGTCTTTCTATCGACTTCAATCTATTATCGTCTTTTATTTCTATCTATCTATCTATCTATCTATCTATCTATCTATCTATCTTTTTTTCATTTTCCAATCTAGCTAGCTCAATCATTTTTTCATGTATCTATCGTTATATCTGACTCTCTCTCAGTCTGTCTATCGATTATCTACGTTTTGCGTCTTTCATTCGTCTTTATCTATCTATCTATCTATCTATCTATCTATTAATCTATCTATCTTTTCCCTTTTCATTTTCCAAAGCTAGCTCAATCCTTTTTCATGTATCTATCGTTATATCTGACTCTCTCTCAGTCTGTCTTTCGATTTAATCTATTTGCGTCAATCCTTTTTTAAACCTTTTTGACGTAAAAATATCTTATCTATCTATCTATCTATCTATCTCTAGCTAGCTCAATCCTTTTTCATGTATCTATCGTTATATCTGACTCTCTCTCTCAGTCTGTCTATCGATTTATCTATCTGTGTCTTTTTATCTATCTATCTATCTATCTATCTATCTATCTATCTATCTATCTATCTCCCTTTTCATTTTCCAATCTAGCTAGCTCAATCCTTTTTCATGTATCTATCGTTATATCTGACTCTCTCTCAGTCTGTCTATCGATTTATCTATTTGCGTCTTTTTCATATCTATCTATCTATCTATCTATCTATCTATCTATCTATCTATCTATCTCCCTTTTCATTTTCCAATCTCGTTATTTCTGACTCTCTCTCAGTCTCAATTTTTTCATGTATCTATCGTTATATCTGACCTCTCTCTCAGTCTGTCTATCGATCAATCTATATCTATCTTGCGTCTTTTCATATTATCTATTATCTATTTCTATCTATCTATCTATCTATCTATCTATCTCCCTTTTCATTTTCCAATCTAGCTAGCTCAATCCTTTTTCATGTATCTATCCCGTTATATCTGACTCTCTCTCAGTCTGTCTATCGATCAATCTATTTTTTTTTTTTATCAATTTTCAGTTTTCAATCTATCTATCTATCTATCTATCTTCTATCTCGAATATCCTTTTCATTTTCCAATCTAGCTAGCTCAAATCCTTTTTCATGTATCTATCGTTATATCTGACTCTCTCTCAGTCTGTCTATCGATCAATCTATTGGAAAAAATAATTTAACAATATATCTATCTATCTATCTATCTAAAAATCTATTATCTATTATATATTTGGAAATTTTTAGATGAAATAAAAAAATCTAGCTAGCTCAATTATTTTCATGTATCAAATCGTTAAATCTGATTTCTCTCTAAGTCTGTCTATTCAAAATTTTCAAGTCATTGACTGACATTAGTAAAGAACAATAAAAACAAGGAGGACTGGCGGTGGGCTGTGGGGGAGGGGGTAAAGAATTTGTAAAAGAGGAGAAAGTGTCGATTATTTTTAAGACGGAAATTCCAAGTAGGTTTTTGTTTCTATGAACACTTCCCAAATATTTCAGGGAAGGGAGGGGTTCGCCTATTCCGGAAGGTGGGGTGCAAAAGCAACGGAGAGAAAAGAAAAATGGACTCCTACTATCATCATCATCATCATTAATCTGATTAAAAATGAAGAGAGAAAGAAAATGTCGTCGTTGTGGTCGATTCGTCATCATCATCATCATTAAGCAATTAAGAAATTTCGATGAAATAAAATTACTGATAAAATACTTTCTTTATCACGGACCCCCAAAAGTGTCAGCTTCCTTTCCTCTCCCCGACCCCCAAGTGTCATCTTTCTTCCCTCCCTCCACACCCAAAAATGTCAGCTTCCTATCCTATCCCCGACCCCCAAGTGTCATCATTCCTTCCTCCCTCCACTCCCAAGATGTTAGATTCCCTTCCTCTCCCCACCCTCAAAATATTTCATTTTCTCTCGATACTGCTTATTTTTGTTAAAAGACATCCAAGCTTTCCATTTTCCGATCTTTTCTATGTGCTGTGTCCCCTCAGAACGTATGTGATCATGGCTCTCCACAACTTCCTGTCCCTTACAGCTCTTAATAAACTTTCTCCTGTTCCGCCCTCCCTTTACTCAAGTTCGCTGATTCTCTTACCCTTTTTATCTGTCCCGTGAGGATCAGATTTTCCGAGCCCTCCGTCCTCATTATGCTCCCCTCCCACACACACACACCGAAATGTCAACTGTATCTTCCTGATGTATTAGTTTCCTTTTTCTTTCCATTTTACTCAAAACCTCATGGTTGCTCACATATTTCCCCCATTGTATCCTCAGTATCCTCCTGTAGAATCACATATCGCTTCATCTGCTCTTCATCTCTACTGCCATTGAGAAGGACAGATAGTCACGTAGCAGTTCGCCACTCGTTTCCTTCTTTTTTTTTAAAGAATCTTTTCCTTTTCTTCTTCCTCAGCTTAGATTCCTTGAATGCTAATTAAAATTCACTGCTAGTTTTGCTGGACATTTTCAAGGCCTTTAAGACGACTTTTCCGACAGATTCGAATTCATCTACCCCCCCCCCCGCCTTTAAGGTTTTTTTTTTTGTATAATTTCGTTTCTTTAAAGGAATAATTTGCAAAGGTCCAGGAGGTGGGGTGGAGAGAAAGAATATAAAGAAAAAAAAAAAAACTCAGTCGTGCCACCGTTTTTCAGAAGGCATTCGTTGGGCGTGGCTTATGTCATAAAGGAAGATTAACAGTTAACACCGACCGTGAAAAATTCAGTTTTTAGATTCATTGCATTAATGCCCTTGGCACAAAAGTCATCAATTCATCTCACCCCCCCTCTCTTCCCCACTCCGCGTATATGGGGCTTTGTCTCACGGGGGTTTCAAAATATTATTTATAGGTGGAGTGTTAGAATAATGGAAAGTTGCGATTCAACAACCAATTGAAGAATTAAACATTGGTGGCTTGAGTTCAGATTTTGGTTCACTGTATTAATTCTCTTGGGACAAAAAGGCGGGAATCTATCTCCCCTCCCCCCCCCACTCAGAATATGGGACTTTGATTTGGGGAATTTCAAAATAAATACATAAAATAAAAAGTATTTAGTGAAATAACAATTAAGAAAAGTAAAACATTTTCATATTATGAAAGGATGATTTGCAAAGACGTTAATAATGAAACAGAACTGAATTAAAAGTTAAATAATTGCAGTGCGTCACTTAAATCACGCGACCTTTATAAGGATTATGTCATGTATAGATTTCCATAGGTAGAAATTAGGAACGTTTTTCACTAAAAATTATTGTTAAAATATTCAGGTTCATACGACTGTTATGAGCTTTTCAAATTTCGATTTATAAATTTACTTTTCATTTAACGATATCATCAAATTACATTCTTGAAAGCAATTAAGAATTTTAAACGATTTTTAAATTATGATTAAAATTTTTTAAAATTGAAAAAATTCTTGTAAAAATTCGTTATTATTCGAAAAAATGTTATTTCTTCAGACAATAATTTCCTTAATATAACTTATTTACAAAAGCAATTAAAAGCTTTTTAATTAAATAATGTCATAGTTATATTGCTTTTTTATTTTACAATTCAGAGCAGATTTTCGATGAAACAGGTAACTGCTTTACAAAAAGAAATTGGTGATTTACTTTCTCCAAAGAGTCCTGTTTTTAACTAATAAAAATCCCACACCTAAAAATTTAATTTCTAAAATTTCATGAAATTATGTAAGTGGGTGGTAACGTATGTAAAAAAAATATATATATATATTATTAAGATTTTTAAAAATAAAAATTTCGAGAATAATTTCATTCCTGAAAATTTCATTAAAATCCGACAATTATTTGAATTTTGCAAGAATTTCCAAATCAATGTGTGTTTTCCTTGGAAAAAGTTCAAAATGAAACATTTTTTTCTCTAGTTCACTGCTGTCGTAAAAAAAACAAGATTTTTAACCAAAATTTCGAACGAGCGAGGCAGGAGTAAAAAACTTCAAAAGATAATTAAAAAAAATACTTTGGTATTTCCTCTTAATAATAACATAAACATTTGGATGACAAAACTTTGTTTTCGTTGAGTTATGGGCCTTTTTTAAATATGCTCTGCTGTTTTTTACGCGACCTCGTGGAGGTACCTACCTTAAGGTGTCACATCTCTTTCGGTATAGCTATCGAGCTATCTCTTCAAACCTTAAGATGTCAGAAAACGACATAATCAGAAAATAAGTGCGATGACGATAGTAAATTTCAATTCAACGTTCGTAAAAATAGATTACGGAGAACATTTTCCAAGATTTTTAAGATTACTGAATACTTAAAAATTATATAAAAAAGCGTTCACCCGTCATTTTTTTAAGTCATGTTTTAATAGATAGTGTCTCCTTAGATCAATAATGAAATTGTCAACACCTCGTCAAGTGATTTACGAGGTGTTGACACGCTACTGTTTGTTTTTAAAATCCATTTCTGTTATTTTAAACTTAAAATAAATGGGTTTTTTTCAAATCAGATTAATTAAACTTGAAATCAGCTTCTATTTCTCAAATAAAGTATCAGAAAAATATATTTTATTTTTGGAAGATTTTTAAAACCGAGAATTAAATTAAAATAAATTTTGTATACAAATCTGGCGAAAATGGCTGAATTTAAACGATTTCTGAAAGCAAAGTGTTTGTTTATTTTAAAAAATACAGAAAAAATTAATTGAAAATTTTTAGAATTAATCAAATAAAAACCTTTAAAAATTTTGAAATAATTTATTAATTCATGCACATAAAAAATTTAAATAGATAAAATTTATTGTTACTGCTGATTTTTTCCTTAAAACTTCAATTTTTCGTCTGATAACAATATGAAGTCAGTCAAATAAATGTCGGATTATTTTCTTTTCTTTATCTTCGTATTTCTTTGTCTTTCACGTGTTTTTTGTTTTTTTTTCTTTGTAGGAGTCGGGGAGGACCGTTATTTTATTGAAATTTGCCTTTTTGTTATTCGCTGCCTCAAGAGAGATTTATTTAAAGATATTTTCACGCTGACATTGACAAGGAACCGATGACAATAAAAGACAAAATGTAGACGGGGTGATAAAATCTGTGGATAAAAAATTCCAACAAGAATTAAATTCTTTAGGATTTTAGAGGAAAACTCGAAGATTGATTCCAATGAAGGATTTACCAAAAATGATATCGGTAATGAAAACCAAGTTCACATCACTTCTGTGACGTTCATTTATTCACTGTGCCCTAGGCATGAATCTATCTCGTCCCTGCAGAAGTAAAATAGCAGGGTAAACTAGACTCTCTAGCTTTGAATAACAACAAGGCTAATAGGGAATCCACGTCACCTCGAAAATGTCATGGCTATTTCACAGGGATTGCAGAAAGTGAACCACAACTGCCTACTCTTGAGTACGGAATAGACGGGTTGGGTGGAATTAACGGGGGCGACCCGATTATTCCGGACGGGAGATGATGTTCGGAAGGGGCAAAAACCACAGAAAAAAATGGACTCGTAATATCATCATTGATGAAAAAATATCACTGATAAAATAATTTCTCCACCTCCAATACCATCCAAATTTAAACTCCACTGCCCCCCCACTTGCACCATTTTCATCTTTTCTTTTTTTATTCTCTCTCTCTCTCTCTCTCTCTCTCTCTCTCTCTCTCTCTCTCTCTCTGCTTTTTCCGATATTTTGTTGGTGGAAACTCATTATTTGTTTTTTTATATATGAAAGAAAGAAAGCAAATAAAAAAATAAACGCAAAATACTCTAAGGGAGACAACTCTGATTAAATATAATATTTCGGTTATTCGCCCTTATATTGATTCGTTAAGGATCTCAGAGACTTCAGATCCATCTCCAATTTCCTTTTCATATATATATATATATATATATATATATATATATATATATATATATTTATTTATTTAAAAGAAAAACAGACCATTTTAAGGTACCATTACAATAAT